TACATTTATTTTTACAATTTGCTGTACGGTACAGTAATGAAAGTATTCAGTACTTCATGCTGTAGGTGTTTGATTATTTGAAAAAAAACAAAAACAAAAACAAAAACGATTATCCAGAATGGTGGCAACACTAATTATTCTGGACATTCAATGTTTTACTGTACTTCAGAACCTCAGTTTCCTTAAAGAAAGAAAAAAGAAGTGGCCTTATGAATAAGAAGGTTTCCCAACCATGGAAAGTAACCAGTTCCTGGACTTGCAAACAGCCTGCAATAGTAAGTTTTTGTCAGGACCCAGGGCAGCTGGCCAGCAGCTCTCCCTGACTCCCACCCGGGCAGATAAGGGTCCGTCAGGCAGGTACTTGTGATGCTTGGAGTGGAATTAATTAGGAGGACGCTTATCGGTTGCAAAGCAAGATTATTTACTTACTCCATCAAGGTGGTGAAAGACGGAGGTCAAAGATACTTGGTTAGTTACAGCTTAGGGTTCGTAGGTTGGTCTGCATAAGTAAATCAGTTCGCAAAACTGGTCGGGCAGAATTGTCAGGTCGGGGTCGTCGATTACGTCTGAGAAGGTCAAAGACGGGGGGATGAACTGGCAAGTGATCAAATTGCCGGTTTTCTCTAACACCTATGTCAGAGGTCTCCAGGTGTATACGGAGTCGCTCTTCCCCGACTACGCGGAAATGCAGCGGGGTTTTGTTTGTGTACTAGCCAATTGCTTTTCGCCACGTCATAAATTTAATTAGAATCGCCAATTATCTAGCCGTCTTCGCTAGGGTGTTATCATAGGGTTACTCCTTGTTTTCTTTGACCAATTATAATGATTTATGTACAGCACAGAAGGCTAAGTTCTATTTCATGTTGGTGTCGCAGTTATAAATTTCTTTTTGACATGCGCAGCAAAAAAACTGTTACTATCTTCTTGTTAGTTAACTCTTAGTTAACCTAGTGCAGACTAAAACTGTTTTTGATTAATATATTTCTTGCTTGTGGCATGGGCAGTACTTAATTTGGTTGTGACAGTTTTGAATGTTCCAAACTACTCAATTCCTTCATAGAAAGGATATTTTTCATCAACATGAAACATTAAACCTCAGTGACTCAGAGGAAGAAGGAAGGACTGCCTAGTTAGTGTCTCTGAAATAGTTGTGAACCATCTTTCTCTACTTCCCTTGCTTCATTCAGCCCAGGCAAAAACCCTACCCAATATTTAAACTACCCACTTTCCCCTGTCAACTTCTATTACAGCATTAGTATTTTGTACTGAGAATTCCCATAGCTAAACGGAAGATTTGGGGGCAGGCCAGAGATTAAGGCACATGGAACTACTAATATTTGTTAGTTCAATAAAGCTTGATTTGCATTTTGAAGTTATCTGAGCTCCCGTGATAGCTCCAGGTGCTGCCCAAGAGCGTCACTAAATACAGAGAACTCAGAGATTTGGCTACAGATCTGCTCTCCGGGCTCAAGACTGTGGAAAGAGAAGCAGAGAGCAACTGAAAAGCTCATACATACCACCTGTTTGTTCATCACATGTGGTTATGGTTCCCCCTCCTTTACAGTGATGTTATCTAGTCTGAGTACAGTGACAAGGCAGCATATTAAGAACTCTCACCTGATTTAAAAAAAGAAGAGGTCTAAAAAGAAAACCCACAGCAATCAAAAAGACAGGAGTTTTTCCAAGTCCAGAGGAGCAAGCAATTGTTACAGATAATCCCAGCCATGTCACACAGAACTGAATTTTTAACCCAAGCCACTCATTCTCCTGTGGAATCATGTGTAGGAAGGGACCGTCAAACCTGGTGACTTCTGGTCTCTGGATCTTCCCAGCACACAAGACAGGTTCAATCCTATGCAGGAGGGTTGACATGTAAAGCTTTTTTTCAGAGAGGGGCGCAGTCCAAAAAAAGACTGGGTCAAATCAGCACTGATACAAGCGAGCACAACTTCCAATAACTTTATGGGGAATGGCACCTGAATACAACACAGCTAAATACACCGTTTTCTTCTCTAAAACTAGGCAGCACAAACTAACTTCCTAGCATACCAAGATTTACCTTTATTAAGGCCTTTCTATCAAAAAAACCAAGACAGACATTACCTGGTGATGGAAAACTATTCATGTATATGTCAATACAACCTTCTATTGAGGATATTATGGACAGCAAAGTCTCTAAACTAATCCTCTTCGTTCCAAGTTTCTAAGCCTGTCAGCATTTAAACTGACAATAAGAGAACACAGCACAGGAGGAAACAGCGCCTTGTCAGTACAAAGGGCAAAGAGCACATCAAAACCGTATGCCAATTCTAAGCAAGTCCAATCATGCTATAACCAAGAAACAGAAAACTTCCCCATCCTTTGGTTCCTTTCCACTGTGACACACACAAATGTGGTTGATGCCAATCAAGTGAGACTGAATGTCCACAACATAAGGAGAGAGCTAAACAGCCAATAAGAGAAAGATGGCTCAGCAGTGTGCAACTTCCTGCATATGTTTTATATGTTTTAGGCCTTTCTTAGCATCTCAAAACAGTTTAAACCATACTACAACCTACTGGAGAAGGAAACAGTCCAGGGGTGGGCAAAATGTGGCCTGGGGGCTAGATGCAGCCCGCCAGGCCATTCTATCTGGCCCACGGGGCCCCTAAAAAAAATTTAGAAACTTAATATTTATATGCCCCTGGCTGCCTATCATGCAACCCTCGATGGCTTGCCAAAAACTCAGTAAGCGGCCCTCCGCCCAAAATAATTGCCCGCCCCTGGAATAGTCCCATTTTACCCAAGCTTGGATGCTGCCAGCTAACAGGAAGACTGTGCATCTGCTGCTAAGAGTTGCAAAATGAACATCAATGCAAAGGAGACTTGAAACAGCCTTCAAAGAGTAAAGGCTTTTCCTATCAAACTGCAATACCTTCAAGTAGCATTGCTGACCATCTTTAAAAAAAAAAAAAAAAAAATCAATCACACAGACCAATCAGTATGAACAACAAAATGTCAGACCCCCTCACCCCAATATCTTCCTGTCCACCTCTTCATGCACTTCTTCCACCTTCCTGGCCCAATAGTTTAGGCCCCAAAACCCCCCACACTTTGTATGCAAAGAGGGCAGCATTGCTACGTGAACTGTGGGCATGATGAGCCTTGCTGCTTTCTGGTGAAGGCTTATCTTAAGTATTGACTGTTCTATGTGGCGCACAGTTCACTGCAGTAAATGGTGCTGACATGAGAACTGAAGTCCAAGTTAAACCACTTGCAATAGTCAAAACTGATTTTAAATTTTACACGGTACCTTTTGAAGTAACTGTCTTGATTAGATGGCACTGCCCCTTGACATCTTCCTCATCTCAGAACCTAGCCAACTCTCTCCTCTGAAGAAGCCCATTATACTGGTCAGCAACAATATATAAAACAAAGCTGAAAGTTACTGTAAACCAGGGGCAAGCAATTATTTTGGGCAGAGGGCCGCTTACCGAGTTTTGGCAAGCCATGGATGGCCACATGATAGGCAGCCAGGGGAAGATAAATATTAATTTTCTAAATATTTTAGGGGCCCTGAAGGCCAGATAGAATGGCCTGGTGGGTGACATCCAGGGAAAAATGAGAGAGTGGAAGTTACAGATTTCTCCAAAAATTACTTCCAGGGACACTCTCCCCCACCTGGGTATAAGCATAAAATGCTCTGTAAGGATATTTGTGAATATGCTGAAATAATGACCTGAACCAAAGGAAAAATGGGAGGCAGTTTTGTAATTCTGTAGAAAATATGTCCTTTTTAACTGTGTGAATTAGGGACAAGTTGCAAGCACATTTCCACAATTTCAGGGGTAAAGTGTGGAACAGAAATAGATGTTGTCCAGAAGCTCTACCATAGGTTTAACCTACACCAGCCCTTCACTAACATGTTTCATCCTGTCATCAATGCAGCTCAGCATTTTATCTGCACTTATAAGTAGTCTACCCCTTACAGAATCTGGACAGAGTGGCAGAGGCATCAGTGGTTGCGGATGTTGTTTATGCTTCGAGCCACGGGTGGAGGGTCCAAGAATGAGAAATATTAGAAAAGAAAGGTGAGAATAAACAGAGTCAGCAGGGAGGCTGGCAAGGCTGCTAGCATGCAGTAAAACAAGGATTAATATGGCAAGCTAAAATAAAAACACCCTCCACAGAACTTTGTAGTAGTAGTCACTAATCCATTTTCTCCAAACAAGTTTTTCTTGTACTCTAAAGGTTCCCACAATTGTCCTTAAACTAAGAAAACCCTAAAATAAATTTTCAAGCTAGGTACCAGAGATAAAATACTACGCATAATTGTTATAATTTCTATGATTTTCAGAAACAACTAGCTCTTGGCTGAAGAGAACAGTGAAGTTTCATTAGTGATTTGATTAGCTATAGAATAAATACATAAGAGATTCTTTACCTCCAATAGCCTGGTTCCTAAGCATACAAAGCCCCATATCACTCTGCTAACAAGAGTGATCCTTTTAAAAAAGGAAGGGGAATATTGTTTTTCTCTAGAAGCTAAGAGCTGGTTTACTGTGACCAAAGTCCTGGATCAGCTGCCTTTTATAACTAACTCAGTCTTCAGGATGTTATCACGGAAGCAGAAGACAAAACATCCTTCCTTAATCTCAAACCCAATCCACATTTAATTGTGGAACCATTGAAGATTGCAGCATTTCCCTAGTTTGCTGTTATGCAGAGTAGATTACAGTAGACTCGGATCCTGGTCAGATGATCACTTGTCTAACATATGCAGTACCTCTCCCTACACTGAGATTTCAAACAAATCAGTACAAACTTAACTGATTTAAAAGCAGGTTACCAGAAGAGAACATACCTGCTACTTGCACAATGACCCAGAAAACTTCTGTGCCTTCCAGAATGTGCAAGCTGCATCCAGCTGTCCCTTTAACTTCAGAGGCATGGATACCAAACACAAAGACAACATATTTGCTATCACATGTTTTTAGAATATTTAAACAAGCACAACTGACCATAACTTCTTAGAACAGCCTCTAATGAAATGGCAATGCTTTTGTAAAACGCTCTTGGCAAAACCTCTGAGGAATGGAGGATGAAAGTCACTCTGCCAGAAGGGGAAAAAAAGGAAAAAAAAAGAAACAGCTATCAAAAACATTCCAGCAAGCATGTTTTACACTTCCACTCCAGTCCATGAGACGAGACTGCAGGAATACTAACAGTAGTCTTGTGGCAACTCACAAGAGTAAGGAATCTTCCATTTTGCAATTTCCATTTAGCAAAAGCAATTGTATTGGCGGTCACAAAAAGCCAACACTTGGTGGCATGTGTCAGAAATAGGACAGTTGAGACAGTGAGGGACAAAGGTCTACGACCAGCATAGGACAGCTACAGTGGCGATTCAGTCTTAGTACCTGGCCTCTTACTACACTGCAATACAAATGAAGCAGGTCAGAAATGGGAAACAAAAAAAACAAAAAGAGCACACTGTCCATCTTCTGTAAGTAACAAAACAGAAGCTCAGTGCCCATAAACCAGTTTCAAAATAGATGAAACTGCTTTAAGATAAGCCTGGTTGAATGCTGGATCAGACTTAACTGATTTGGGTCAAACCAGTTTATGAAACTTCTGTCCCAGATCCCTTCCTGGTTCAAGTTAAATCAGTCCCCCAGCATCCCAGAATGCTTTCTAGACCTGAGCTGGGCTGGACAGTGCTGTCTGCTCCAAAGGCCAGGGCTGGCCCCACCCCTCTGCTCCTTAGCCAGAGCAGTGAGGACTGGCTGACAAGAGGGGAAGGGGGAAGTTTGGCTGTGGATGCAGCCAGTCTACCGGGGCGGGGGACGGACACGACTGCCCTCTCCCCAGGCAAACCCCAGTTGAGGTCTGGAGCCAAGGGGGGGGCGCTAAACACCCCTTCCCCCACTCAAACTTAATGCTGGCTGCAACTGTGGACTACAAATCCCAGAAGCATCTGGAAGCAGGAAGAGAAAGGGATGAGCAACTCTGCAGAGTCCTGCTCCGATAATTCTGGACTGCAAATCCCAGAGACCTCAGGGGCAGCAGGAAGAGGAAGTGAACACAGAGCCAGAGAGCCATTCTCTAGCACCCCCCAGCTTCTGGCTTGAACCACTACAGGCCTATGGCTGCATTTTCTGAATCAAAGGTGTCTGTTCACTTCTGTTTCAATTTAATATCTGTGCATCTTAGACTAACCTGCAAAGACTGAATCAATTCAGCCTCAGGCTTTTTGACAGTCTGTACCTAGCCCAAAAGTGTACATGGGCATACACGCATTGTTGTCCACAAATCATACTCAAGTTCTAATGCTAGATTTATGAAGTGGAAAAAAGCCCATCCTCATTATACAGGATAAAAAACACTTAAGGATTTACCACTTTATTGCTAATCCTCTGGGATTTGGGCCTAATGCAATGTTCTTACACTCCTTAAACACCTCAGCAAACCTGAAGTCCCTATTTTACAAAGTGGAAGAAGATGCAAGTTAAGCAATTTGCCTCAAGTTATTCAGTGACTAGCAAAACCAAAATGAGAACTTGGGAATTCCTAGTTATAGGTCCTCACCCTCACTAAACCACATGTTTCTTATGCATGAGAAGCAGTCACATGGTTAAGTAACAAATTAAACCATGCCTGTGTTCCAGTTAGAAAAATACAGATATAGCAGTGGCCAATATCTCTTAAAACATCACTTAGTGCTTCAAATGTCTTTTCACATATCCTAGCATTCCTCTCCCCAGGCTGATCTGCCCCCCCCCCCCCCCAAAAATACAGGGATCAAGATATGTTTCTCTTTCACTCCACATGTGCCACAGACTCATGTTTCTTAACAAGTGCATTTCAAATGGCATCTATCCAAAACAACCCAGTAAGCCTTCACACCTGATGCTCCAGGGAAACACCCTCTACTTCAGGCTTGTCCAACATGCGGCCCGCCAAGCCATTTTCTGAGGCCCAAGGTCCCTCGCTCAGGACAGGCAGGTGGGGGAGGGGAGAGGAGCTGTTCACCCCCGTGGGGCCGGGCTCATCACGTGAGCCAGGTCCCGCCGCCGCCGCCCCAAGGGCTGCGCAGCACAAGGCTGCCCCAGTCACGCCTGACGGGACGAGTTGGGGACAGCGCCTGCCTTTACTTCTCTCCGGCTCAGCCCCTCGCCCCTGGCATCCCGCCCGCCTCCGAGGACCCGCCAGCCTCGGGGCGGGAATGAGGTGCACCTGGCGCAGGCAGTCGGCAGTACAGCCCTGGGGGGGCCGTCGGCAGGCGGGGTCCTGGCATGACTTCTGCGGGTCAAGGCAGGGGGAGAGCCAGTGTCTGCCGGACCCCGCGCTCCAAGCTCGCAGCGCTAAGGCTGCCGGGGCTGTGTGCGCGGGCACCACGGTATGGGGGGCCGTGTGGGCAGGCAAAGGGCTGCGGTGCAGCGGCCACCTCACTCCAGCCCCACCTCGGGCAGCGCCGGCTCGTGAGGCTGTGCTGCTCAGGGGATGGGGATGTGGTGCTATTTATTTCTCCCCTTCAGTCTCTGGGGCAGTAGCTGGCTGGATGCAGAATGGGTCCCTCCTGCCCCTGCCCACCAGCAGCTACCATGAACCTTGCAGTAACAGGCAGGTGCAGTAGGGCTGCACAGGCAGGGTCTCTCTGGCCCAGGACAGAGGGTGTTTGAATAGGGCTCACCGGCCCATTGGGTGATAAAAAGTTCATGATCCGGCCCCACATTCAAAAAGGCTGAACACCCCTGCTCTACTTGCTCCTCTATTCTGTCAGTCACCCTCTTTCTAGGGAAGGGCTGAATGATGGATACAAGGTAAATTCCTATTCAGCTGGAGAGGGTTATGATTGAGTGACATCAGGCTCCCTGAAAGGTGCTTCCTAGTAATCATGCTCCAGCTGCCTGTAAACATTTAAAACATAAATACTATATCACACGTTATGGAGTAAAGTCCAAGTTTGTTCATGCATTTTGGGGGAGCAATCACATGTAGGTACATGCAGAGGACAGACTGTCAGGAAAAGTTTGAGATGTAATCTAACCACAGTCATTGATCCTGGACCAACTGCTTAGCCCCCCCGTCTCTTCCTCATGATCACTGTTTGAAGGTGTATTTGCAAAATGCTTCTTTGAGCTAGTTCACAGACAATTTTAATGGGCCAATAAGCCTTGCATTCGTGGCTTTTGAAGCGTCTAGAGGAATGACTTTAATCAATTGGGAAAAAGGGTCTGAAATGGAATGAAGTTCAATGTATGTGAAATACCACATTTAGGAAGGAACAATCGAATGCAAAATACAAAATGGGGAACAACTGGCTAGGCTGCAGTACTGCAGAAAAGGACCTGGAGATTATAGTGGACCACAAGTCAAATGAGTCAACACTTACAAAAAGCTAGCAAAGTAGCTTACTGGAATGTCAGAAGCAAGTTATGGGAAATGATTCTTCCACTTCATTCAGCACTGGTGAGACCTGCACTTGGAAGACCGAGCCCCATTTTGGGTACAGTGCTTCAAGACAGGCATAAGGAAAGGTTGGATGAATTAAAATTATTCAGTCTAGAAAAGAGGGTGCAAAATACAAATGCCAGAAGGCTGATTTTAAAGAGAATGGTGATCAATTGCTCTGCAGCTGTGAGAGAGGACAGGAAATTAGTTTTTCAAGCAGTGTCTAGACAGACTTCTATTTGCCCTGGTTTAGGAATGGTGAATCCTGTTTTTGTACAAAGGGTTGGACTAGATCAGTGGTCTCCAACCCTTTTAAGTAGGAGATCACCTCTGGCATTTAAAAGCAACCCAAGATCTACCATATACTGTCATCACCCCTCCCCTTCCCTGCCTAACAGCAGAGGTGACCCAAGCAGGGTGTGGGGCCCTGCCCCCACTCTAATCCCACAGGCCCCAGACCTGAAGAAGCTGCCTCCGCCATCAGTAGCATTGGCCCCCGGGGGGGGGGGAAGCAAGCAGCTGGATGTGGAGCTACCACTCTGCCTGGCTTTGTGAGGCCCCACTCAAAGTGTGGGGCCTGGGGCAGTCACCCTGATTCAACCCCTGCCTCCCAGGGACAGCCCTGCCTAGCAGGCAAGTCTGTGGGGAGAGAAGGGGGGGTGTAGATCAAGGCAGAAAATATTATTTGGGGGTGTGCCTCCCCAGCAGGCAAGTGCCACCTGGCTGGAGCCCCATTCAACTTACCCCTATTCCTGCCTCTGTGGCACTGGCCCTTACCATGGGGGCTTAGATCTAGCCCCCTTCCCTTCCCTTCCCCATGGACTGACCTGCTTGGCTGGGGTGCACATGTGCATGCATGTTGGCACTCAGCCCCCCACCCCAGCCTCGAATCGACTCCAAGATCTACCGGTGGATCGAGATCCGCTGGTTGGCGACCACTGGACTAGATGATCCTTGAACTTGTTCAACCCTATGGTTCTATAAATTGCAACAAGGAATGTTTAAGTTGGAAAGTTCTTTCCATTATCTAACTGTGAGGGTGCTTAGACCAGGGGTGGGCAATTATTTCAGCTGGAGGGCCGCAAGGATAGCCCCGCTCCCTTATCACCATCTTGGGATTGGAAGCTCCCACGCCTCTGACCTTTGCCACCAGAAGTCCTTCCCCTTGTCCCCAGAAGTTATCCTTTGGGAGGGGGCTTTGCTATCTTGGAACGTTTGCCATCTTGGAGTGGAAAAATACCAAATCATATGTTGTAGTAGACATTTTATTTTTAGTGTTTCAATTTTATTAAAGATATATATTTTTGTCCTGAATTGTGTGTTTGCATAGTGTACATAGAGGCAATTGCATTATAGCTCAAAATACAGTCTTACTCTTGCATACTGTGTGTGGGGGGAGTGTGTGGTTGTGGCATGTGGGGGGGGGTGTATGGGTAGGGTGTGGGAAAGGATGTGTAGCTGTCTGTGTGGGGGAGTGTGTGGGTAGGGTGGGGTGTGCTCCCCACCATGGGGCACAGCTCCCACCACCAGCAGCACCAGGCAGTGGGCCCTCAGGATGCTCATGGCCCGCACCGGCAGAGCAGAGCCCCCAGCTAGCGTGTGGCTCCAGACAGCTCTGGAAGCTGCACGTGGCAGCAGAAAGCGGGGCCAGGCTCACAT